CCTAGATTGGATAATGAATTATATTATCATTGTCATTCTACCCATGACCCATCTGGATGTGTCTTTTTGAGTTCTCTTGGCCAGAATCAGTGATTTGTTTTGTTCATAATGATCATAATTTTGCTTCCAACATAGCAGAAATTATTAGTATTATTTCTAATAAAAGTGTTTATTAAATTAAAAAAAAAGACCTTAGAAGATAAAAAGATCTCACAATGTTCTTGGATAGGCAGAATTATTACTGTCAAAATGTCCATACTACCAAATGCACTATACATATTTAATGCAATTCCTATTAAAATCCCAATGACATCTTTCATAGAAATAGAAAAAGCAGACATGAAATTCATTTGGAAAATAAGAGGCCCAGAATAGCCAAAGCAATCTTTACCAAAAGAAGTGATGCAGGAGGCATCACAATACCAGACATTAAAATATACTACATAACAACAGTGACAAAAACAGCATGCTTGGGCTGGGATTGTGGCTCCGTGGCAGAGCGCTTGCCTAGCATGTGTGAGGCACTGGATGTAAACAAAGATCCATTGACAACTAATAAAATATTTTTAAAACTTAAAAAAATAGATGTTATTGGTACCAAAACAGACATGAAGACTAATGGAACAGAACAGAAGACACAGAGACAAACCAACATATATTTAGTTATCTCATACTAGACAAAGACATCATAAACATACATTGGAGAAAACATAGCCTCTTCAACAACGGTGCTGGGAAAACTGGATATCCATATGTAGCAGAATGAAATTGAACTCCTATATCTTGCCTGCACAAAATTCAGCTCAAAGTAGATCCAAGACCTAGGTATTAGAACAGAGAACATGTGCCTTTACTAGAAGAAAAATTAGCCCCAAGACTCATGTCAGCATAGGAACTAACTTCCTCAACAAGACTCCTAAAGTGCAAGTAGTAAAATTGAGAATCAATAAATGGGATGGTATCAAACTAAAAAGCTTCTTCACAGCAAAGGAAACAATCCAGAAAGTGATGAGAGAACCTTCAGAACAGAAGAAAATCTTTGTCACCTGTGCTTCAGAGCATTAATCTCCAGGATATACAAAGATCTCAAAAAAACTTTACAAAAAAACAATAATCCAATCAATAAATGGGTAAAGGACCTGAACAAACACTTCACAGAAGAAGAAATATGAATGGTCAACAAATATATGAAAAAATATTTAATATCTCTAGCAATTAGAGAAATACAAATTAAAACTACACTGAGAGTCTAACTCAAGTAAGAATGGCAATTATCAAGAACACAAGTAACAATAAATGTTGGCAAGGATGTGGGGAGAAAGGTACTCTTATACATTGTTGGTGGGACTGCAAATTGGTACAATCACTCTGGAAAGCAGTATGGACATTCCTTAGAATACTTGGAATAGAATCATCCTTTGACCTAGCTATCCTACTCTTCAGTTTATACCAAAAGGACTTAAAAATAGTATTATACATTGACACACCCACATCTAAGCTATGGAACCAACCTAAGCTAACAAACCTAGGCTAACAAAATTTGGTATATATACACAATAGAGTATTACTCAGCCATCAAGAAGAATGACTTTGACATTTGTCAGTAAATGGATGGATCTGGAGACTATTATGCTAATTGAAATAAACTAATCCCCAAAAAACAAAGGTCAAATGTTCTCTGATATGTAGATGCTAGCACACAACAATGGAAAGAGTGGAAGAATCAAAGTTTAGTGGATTAGACAAAGGAGAATGAATGGAAGGAGGTAAGAATAGGAAAGACAATGGAATGATTATGACATAATTTCCTATGTACATGTATAGATATATCACAGTGAATCTCTATGTCATATACAATCATGAGACTGTGATCCTAATGACAGTACTATATACTCCATGTTTGTATAAATGAGTCAAATTATACTCTACTGTCATATGTAACTAAAAAGAACAAAAATTAAGAAAATAAATGCAGAACTATTAAATATGTAGATATATATGAGGTAATTTTTCTTCTGAAATTCAGCAAAGGATTTTACTGTTCAGAGTAAAACTTCAAGTATTATATATTGAAATTTATGAAGTTTAAATAAAATATATGACAATAACTTTATAAATAATTTGAAGAAGTATATACAACTATAATTTTGTGAGATTATTATATCATATGTATAATAACACATACTGTAAGTTCTGAAGAAATCACTGAAATATTGGAACAAATATGAATAAATATCAAGATAAAACAAATATGAATGCTCAACTAGTCCAAAATGAAACAAGAATGGAAAAATATTATTTATTTGAAAGTATCTTTTAAAAGGTAAGTGATTTAAATGCTATTTTATTAAAGAATTGTATGCATAAAACAAGACAAATAAATGTAGATTATAACAATTCACGTGTTATAAATGTCCAAAAAAATTTAAAATTTTCAGCACTGGGAATTGAACCAAGGGCCTTGCACACATCAGGAAGGGCCCTAGGTTTATATAAGCACTGGGTTAATGATCAGCCTCAGGCAGGTGGGGGGCAAGGTGTCAAAGCCAGCTCCTGGGCATGAGGATCTTTAAACCTCTCCTTTGAATCCAGGCTCTGAGATACCCTGGTCCTGCAGTGGTCAGTGTTTGTCTGGGTAGAGTCTGAGAATCTGGGAGAGGGACCAAAAATAGAGAACTAAAAATGAACAACAAGATGTTCATTGAGTGGAAAAATTAGATATTTTAAGAGGTTTTACTAGTTTTACTAAGAAAGAACAGAAGGGAACCAAGGATGGGAGAAAGATGAAGGTGAAAAGGCCAGAACAGGATTAGGGGGGACAGAGGTGATGGTTCATTGCAGAATATTTAAGATTCTTGACCAAAAAAAATTATTCTTAAAGATCAGCAAAGTAGAGGTAGGGAATCAAGAAGATAAAGGGGGTGGTAAAAAGAAAAGGGGAATAAAATAAATCAAAATTATTCTATACCTATTGATGTATCACAATAAATTCCACTTTTGTGAAAAATTATAATGCAACAATGGGGGGAAATACATGTAAATAAATAGAAGACCAGAGAATAAAGGAGATGAATAGGGGAAGGGAGAAGGGGAGGAAGAAGGGGGAGCAAATTATGTGCATATACAAATATGTCACAGTGAGCATAACAAAAAAGAAAAAGACAAAAATTACCTCTTGTAATTGAAATTAATTGTGCATTTCAAGAATTACAAATTCCCATATTTCTCTGGAGCAGGTAGTATGATACATCAAGACCCTGGCAGCTCAAGCAGAAAATGTAAACTGGTAGGCAGTGCTATGGAGTGGCTGGGTCAAATGTTTTAATAATGAGTGAAACAATCTTTAAAAATCAATGGAGCCAACCCTCACCACAGGTGGCCCTGGGGAGTGGGTTACAACTTCAGGTAGCCCAGTGCATAGTTGTCAAACAAAGCAACTGATGAGTGGGTGATCCTGCAGTACAGTTGTAGGTCCTCAGCTTGTGGACTGCACTGAGCCGATCCCTGTTGGACCTGGAGTTTGGATTTTGAGGAAAACTGGAAAATGGAGCTCAGAAAGCATGAAGTCAGAAATGCAAAAGGACCATGTTTGCGCTGTCAAGGTGGTGGGTATCCTGGCTTTAATACCAAAATTGAGTCTCCACTGTATATATGTGTGTCCACACTGTGAAGTATTTAGCAGAACTCCTGCAACACATGTGCTCAGGCATGCTACCTTCTGCTTTCCAATGATAATCATGATCAGTCATAGAAACATCCTCAAAGATTGAGTAGTTATGAAAAGATGAAGATAATATACATTTGGTTGCACAGATGAGCATTTGGACCAGTTTTTTATTTACCTAAGACATTAGCATGATGAAGGAGCCAGGATAGTTATGGACAATCATAAAGAATAACCAGAACACTTGTTCCAAAGGGGACTATGATTTTGTCTCAAAATAGAAGACAGTGATTTTGAATCAAATAGAGGAGGAAAACGGTGATCTAGTTCCTGGCCACTGTTCAGAAGGAATGGACTTCCTGCACGAACAGGAGGACATGAAGCACAAAGAGATTGACGCCAAGGAGGCAGAAGTCAGGGCAGCAGTGAGCTGTATCTGTCAAAAGTACTTCCCTGCTGAAAGGGAGGACGACCATGGGTCTCCGTTCTCCCACTTAAACAACACACTGTATTGTGTAGCTATGGAAGCAGTGACCCAGAGCCTTGTTTCCAGCTGACACAAAAACTCCAGGAAGTAATTTCCAGCTTGGAAGCATTTCTCTAACTCTTCTCAAGATAGCACTAAAACAACATGTAAGTAACCTATGAATAGTTCTCCAGAGGAGGAAAATGAAAAATAATTGAGTACAAATTGCCTCATGAGACACTTCAGGTAAGGGCACTGCACTGAGCTCATTCAAAGGAACAGACGTGTCTCTGGGAGTTCCTCCTTTCCCACCTCTGGCTCCTGCTTTCCTACAACCTGCAAAAGTGTGAGACCTCAGTTCCAAACTCTCACCCATCAGATTTATCCAGAAAATGGCGCCTACGATCCCGTTGCCTGAGCCGGTGTCAGCAGTCTCTTCTGAAATCTCCTCTGATGTGCCAGTCACTGAGAAGTACAGCAGAGAGGAGGACCTGGTGTGGGGGTACCACCACATCACTGCATTCCATTATGACGGAACTATAGAGGGCGTGGTGGAAAGAAACTGTCCCCTTCCCGAGAGCAAGTTTGGTTCCAGGAGCAGATCTGGAGTCTGGGAGCACTTCCGGTCACTCCTGGACTGCTCGAATCCAACACGTTGACTTCAAAAATGAGTTGAGCAGAGGGAAGAATCGGAAGAACCTGGACACCAGCTACTCTTTGGGCACAGTTGGAAAACGCAGCGCTCTAACGTGCTGCAAGAGAATGGGGGTGGCACCAGCGTCCTGTCTGCAGGTGCGGTCCCCCATCTCATACCCTGAGTCCAAACCCGCTGCCTCCAGAGGAGAACCAAATTCGGTGTCATCTCTTTCTAGCAACATTGGTCAAAGTGTGCCCTTCTGCCTCCTCATCCCTGGGCAGGCTGGCCAGGGATCTGCAGTTGTGCTCTGGGAATTTATGTCAGTGCTGTTGTGTTAAAAGGATGTTGGTGAGGCCCTGGTGGTATCCTCTCCTGAGAAGAAGCAGACTGGGGAACTGAGTTCTAGAATGTTTGAATCTGGTGCTGTCTTCCAACAGAATAAGAAGGTCATGAAAAGACTGAAGTAGGAAGTCTGGCACCATTTTTTCACTGGGTCCCTGTGAACAGTTTTGAGGCTCTATGTCTACACTGCTGCTGGGTCATCATGCCCGGGGAAGAAAGGGAGCTTGGGCACTGGCTATTTGCGCTACAGATGCCACCATGAAAATGTTTGAATTAAAAAGGGCTTTCTAGGTACAAGTTTGGCAAACTCCATGGAAAATTCCTCCTCCAAATTAACTGGCTTTTTCTAATGATTTTTGTTTGTTCTTTTTATTCTTATTTGTTTTGGTACCAGGGATTGAACCCAGAGGCACTGAACCATTAAGCCACATCCCCAGCCCTTTTCTTTTTTTAATTTTGAGACAGAGTCTCTCTTAATTGCTTGGGCCTTGCTAAGTTGATAAGGCTGGTTTCAAACTCACAATACTCCTGCACTGGGATTAAAGGCATGCAAAAAAATAATAATAATAAACTGGCTTGCCAGAGAGGCCAGAAGAAAATAATGTATTATATTTCCCATTAATAGCAAGAAGAGCTCAAAGATGTAGTCATTTCTCTATTTGCTCTGCAGAGTCCCTAAAGTGGTATGCTTACACTGTGGCTGGACCAGCAGCAGCAGCAAGAATCCCACCAACCAGGGCACCAGCTGCCTCCTAACACCTGAAGAGGTTCCATGGCCACCTGCTCAAGACCCATGTCTCAGAGACCACCTTGACCCACTCTTCAGGCATCCAAGGGCCACTGATCATGGAGTTATCTGGCACTTACTCCTTTGACGACCTCAGTGAGAAGTTTTATGACCCTCACTCAGCACCCCCACACACACAAAAATCATGTCTCATTGCTGAAATTATTGCATTTGGCCTTCAGCCATATTCTTTTGTAGACAATGTTGGTTTTAAAAGTTTGCTCAAATGCTTGAAACCTCAATACTCTTTGCCTTCTCTTTCTTAATTGTCCAGGACAGCTATCCTGGGTATAAATGTCAATGTAAAAGAGTATGTCACAGCTGAAGGAAGCTGACAGTGATGTGGTCATTCCAGAATATGGATGAGTAACCAGACTCATGAGTACCTGACCCTTATGACTCAATGTAGTGTCCTACCACATTGTGAGGACCACTGTTGTTTGGCATTTTTGGTTGTGTCATCTATCAATTGTGACCACAGTGGCAAGAGCATGCAGAAGCCTGAATGACCTTCAGATTGGCACCATAGTCACTGATGACCTGAGCATAGGGAAGAAACTGAATGAGGGGAACATTGAGCATGCAATGCTTCAGCTACATAGTGAAACTGATCACAAACTAGGCCATTAAAAGTCAAAGAATGGTGCAGAACCTACTGAGCATTGCAGTAGTTCTCCAGCTGTGAGAATGGGTTTTCCAGTGACTCCAAGTGAAAAACTAGGAGAACTAGAAGGACCTATCTCATAACCACCTTATCCAGGACATGCCTTGCAAATGGAACACATTGTTCCATGTGCTTGGGTGATTCATTGTGCAAAAAAAAAGAACAATTAACATAATGACCACTGAGTCTAACTTCAGAGAACTGATCAACTGTAACCAGAGGAAGGTCCTGAAGTCTGTTTGTGACACATTGAGACCCTTGGATGAGCACCCACATGTCCACTCTGAGCCAGGTTAACCCTTAAATCCACATTTTCAGCAGGAAGGTTGAGATGCTGTTTGGGGAGATTATGGGCATTAACACCATGCTGAAGTTGCTGAAGGAAGCCCTGGTGAAGTATCTGTCTACCATCCTCCACCATCCCATGTTCTTCTTTGTCATTCTGTTGGATTCTCACTACAAATCCTCCCTATTTACAGAGGAGAAGGTAGAGAGTACAGGCAGGACTAGAAATAATGAATTCTACCTCAGAGGACACAGCCACCTCCAATAACTGTGACTCAGGGTCCAGTTGAGATACTGTGATAGAGGGTAGAACCTATGGTTGCTCATGACCAAGATGAGACCAGATGAGGAAACTACCTGAAGACATGATACTTGTGTATTTGAAGGAGGAGGTGCTAGAGCACAGGTGTGAGTCACTCACCTACTCTCACCACTAGATAGATCATGCAGACATAAACTAAGTAAAATTTTTTCTGAACTAAAAAAAATACTATTAATCAAATGGACCTAACAGACATCTGGAGAATATTTCATCTATCATCAATACATAGAACATTTCTAAAGTAGAGCATAATTTACAACAGAAACCAAATTTTAGTAAATTCAACCACTATTGATATAATCATATGATTCTTACTTCTGTAAGTCTATTGATGTGGTGAAATAACCTTTATTTATTTCCATATGTTGAACCAACCTTGCATCCCTGGGATGAACCCCACTTGATCAGGTGCTCTATCTTTTTACTATGTTTTTGTATGTGATTTGCCAGAATTTTATTGAGAATTTTTGCATCTATGTTCTTCAGGGGTATTGGTCTGAAGTTTTCTTTCCTTGATGAGTCTTTGTCTGGTTTTTGATATTAGGGTGATACTAGCTTCACAGAATGAGTTTGGAAGAATTCCCTCCTTTTCTATTTCATGAAATAATTTGAGGAGTATTGATATTAATTTTCACTGAAGGTCTTGTCGAACTTGGCTGAGAATTTTTCTGGCCCTGGGCTTTTCTTTGTTGGTAAACTTTTGATGATGTCTTCTATTTCCTTGCTTGAAATTGATATGTTTAAATTTTGTATGTCCTCCTGATTTAGTTTGGGCAGATCATATGCCTCTAGAAATTTGTTGGTGTCTTTGAGATTTTTTTGTTTTATTGGAGTATAAATTTTCAAAATAATTTCTAATTGTCTTCTGTATCTCAATAGTGCCTGTCATAATGTTTCCTTTTTCATCACGGATTTTAGTAATTTGAGTTTTCTATCCCCTTATTTTCATTAGGGTTGCTAAGGGTTTGTTTATTTATCTTTTCAAAGAACCAGTTTTTTGTTTTGACAATTTTTCAGTTGTTTCCTTTTTTTTCAATTTCATTTATTTCAGCCCTGATTTTAATTATTTTCTGTCTTCTACTGCTTTTGGTGTTGATTTGGTTTGTTTTTTAGGACTTTGAGATGTAATGTCAGGTCATTTATTTGTTGAGTTTTTCTTCTTTTAATGAAAGAGCTTAATGCAATGAACTTTCCTCTTAGCACTGACTTCATAGTGTCCCAGAGATTTTGATATGTTCTATCAGAGTTCTCATCTACCTCTAAGAATTTCTTTTTATTTCCTCCCTGATATCTTCAGTTATTCACGCATCATTCAATAGCATGTTACTTAGTCTCCAGATGTTAGAGTAGCTTCTATTTTTTATTTCATCATTGATTTCTAATGTCCTTACATAGGTCAGACAGAATGCAAGGTAGTATCTCTATTTTTTCCTATTTGATAAGACTTGCTTTGTGGCATAACATATGGTCTTTTTTGGAGAAGGATCCCTGAGCTTCTGAGAAAAAAGTATATTTGCTCACCGATGGATGGAATATTCTATATATGTCTGTTAAGTCTAAATTATTGATCATATTATTGAGTTTTATAGTTCCTTTGTTTAGTTTTTGTTTGGAGGATCTATCCAATGGTGAGAGAAGTGTGTTAAAGGTACACAGTGTTATTGTGGTCCATTTGATTCTTGAAGATGAGAAGGGTTTGTTTGATATACATAGATGCACCATTGTTTGAGGCATAGATATTTATGATTGTTATGTCTTGTTGAAGTATGATTACCTCAAGCAGTATGAAATAACCTTTTTTATCCCTCTTTACTAACTTTCGCTTGAAGTCCACTTTGTCTGATATGAGTATGTAAATCCCTGTTTGTTTACATAACCCATGTCAGTGATATATTTTTCCCCATCCTTTCACCTTCAGTCTGTGGATGTCTTTTCCTATGAGTTTCTTGAAGGCAGCTTATTTTGGGGTCTTTTTTAATCCATTCTGCTAGTTACAACTTTTTATTGATGAGTTTAGGCCAATAACATTCAGGGTTATTATTGAAATATCATTTGTATTCCCAGTCATTTTGGTTTATTTTCGGTTTTTATCTTGATTTGGTTTCTCCTTTGATTGACTTTTCCTTTAATGTAATTCCTCCCTTTGCTGATTTTCATTGTTGTTTTTCATTTCCTCCTATGGAATATTTTGCTGAGGATGTTCTGTAGATGAGGTTTTCTCTGTAAATCCTTTTAACTTTTGTTTATCGTGGAAGGTTTTTATTTCACCCTCACATCTGAAGCTTAATTTTGCTAGATGTAAGAGTCTTTGTTGGCATTCGTTTTCTTTCAGAGTGTGGTATATGTTGTTCCAGGCTCTCCTAGCTCTGGGGGTCTGAGTTGAAAAATCTGCTGAGACCCTGATTGGTCTTCTCCTCCTACATGTGGTCTGATTTCTTTCTCTTGCAGCCTTTAAAATTCTATCCTTAATCTGTATGCTAGGAATTTTCATTATAATGGGCCTTGGGGTAGATCTGTTGTAATTTTATACATTTTGTGTCCTGTTAGCCTCTTGTATTTGATTTTTCAATTCATTGTTAATGTTTGGGAAATTTTCTGATATTAATTCATTGAAGAGATTGTGCATTCCTTTGGTTTGAATCTCTGTACCTTCCTCTATCCCGATAAATCTTTGATTTAGTCTTTTAACGTTATCTCATACTTCTTGGATGTTCTGTTCATGTTTTCTTACCATCTTCACTGTGTAGTCAATTTTATTTCAAGACTAGATAGTTTGTCTTCACTGTCTGAGGTTCTGTATTCCAAATGATCTAGTCTGTTGGAGATGCTTTCTATTGATCTTTTTATCTGCTTTATTGTTTTTTTTAATTTCAAGGATTTCTGTTTTGTGGGAGTTTTTTGTTTGTTTTGTTTTTGTTTTTCAAAATCTCTATTTCTTCAAGTAATCTTTGCTACTTGTATTTGCTCTCTTATCCATATGTTGGAGTGATCAATTGTTGCCTGTACTTGCTCTCTTATGTTACTGTTTGATTCACCAATCATTTTAATTATGTACATTCTGAACTCCTTCTCTGACATTTCATCTTATGCTGTCAATGGATTCTATTATTGTCTTATGTCAATGTATTTTATTATTCTATGATTGGTTTGTATGGGGCAATTTTTTCTCTTGTTTTTTCATGTTTTCCATGTGTCTTTTTCTCTCTTGCAATGTGGATCTAAGGTATTACAGTTCTACCCCATAAACTTGTAGTGTCCCTGCAGGTTACCAATATCTTGCCTTTATGGGGGAACTCAATGTTTACAATACCCAATGTATGCAATATGCATCCATAAATCTAATAGATCCTGTTTAGAAAATTACAGATTTTTTGCTATAAACAGTGATGATGATTATCATCAACCATAAAGTCAGTAGGTTTGCATAAGGCTTTATAGTTTCTAATTGTGGAAAGGAAGAGAAAGGGGGGTGTAGAATGAGATGTTCATGAGGTAAAATGTGAGAATATAGTGATATTAGATTATAGAAAGAGTGAAAGGGGAACCAAACAAAGTGGGCTATTAGAAGAAAAATTAGAAAGGGGTGCCCCCATGCAGGGCTCTCTTTTGCCTCTCCAACAAGATGGTGTCTATTAGCACACCTAGTAGGGATACCTTTGGTGTAACCAGGCCCACAGGAACCTTGGTAATGGTCTTTCAGGTCTTGTTAGTTGCCCCTAGATAGAAGTGGTCACATCCCTAGTTGGTGGCAGCAGTAGTGTCAAACCTATAAATACCTTGCTGTTGGGCTTCCAGGCCCCAGTTGGTGTCCCAAGATGCAAGCTGCTCCAACTAAAGATGGCAGAGTTGGCAGTGGAGGCAACCCAAGATGGCAGCAGTGGTGTCTGAAGTTAGAAGTGACTGCTTTCAGAGATGAGGATGGAATGATGCCCCCATGTGATGGCACTGGGTGGCCTGTGTGGTTTTGCAGT